TTTTTTTTTTTAACCTGGACGTGCATTAAAGGGTCTGTTAGCTTTTTCCTGTCTGTCTCAACGGCTGAGCCGGGGCCAGCTGAGGAGTGCCTTCTGTTGTCCCCTCCCCACCGAACGTGGCTGGGGTGGGAGTGGGGTGGCCAGGTGGGGGTGTCTCCTGGCGTGGGAGGCCACAGCAGGGGTGTCACGGAAGGAGAGGGAGCTAGTCTGTTGGGGGAGGGCAGCTGGGAGCAGACCCGGTGCAGGAGGGAGGAGGCCGCTAATGGCTGTTTGATGGGAGCCTGCTGGCTGGCTGGCTGGAGGAGTTGGGCCCGATTTCCCCCCATCTCCTGCCAGTTACTGACACAGCTCTCTTTGTAAGAGAGAGAGAACCTGAATCCCCCAAGGGGCGATTTCAGGGGAAGGGGTGGGTGGGGGCAGATGCCGTGAGCAAACCGGGCCGCCTCTGCCCAGGCACCTCGCCTTGAGGATTCTTTTGCCAAATTTGTGGAACTCCACGGACCTGGTCTCCTGGTTCCCCCTTCGCCACGTCCCAGGCCCCTGACTTCATCAGCACCGTGCTAGGGTCCGGAAGAGGGAGAAACCCAGGCCTGGGGTCCCAGTCTCTTGTGTCTGCCCGCCATCCCTCAGGCCCCCTCGTTCTGTCTGCACACTTTGCGTGTTAACTGCATTCCAACCACTAATAAAGTGCCTATTGTACAGAGCCCGGGCCTGGAGTGTTTGTGGAGTGAGTAGGAGGCTGGTAGGGGGAACCCCAGCTTTGACTGTCCTGGGATTCATTCTCTGAGCTGGGGCGAGGCTCTCAGGGGAAGGAGGGAGGGCAGGAAGCCTTCTGTCTGCTGGCCCCGAGTCAGTCCGAATGGTACCCCGCGGGTAGCTCAGGTTTCTTCTGAACAAATAGCCCTTATTAGGTTCTCATCCCTACACTCCAGAAGGCGACGATGGCCTGTCTCCCCCCCCCCCCACCTCCTCAGTCACATGGCCTTTGTCCCCAGGCCCAGGCACCTGAGGCACCCACAGTCTAGTCCAGCCCCTTTGGACCCGCAGAACTGCAAAGAACTGAACCCTGTCCTGCTGCCTAGGGGCTCACTGCTGCCCCCTGGTGCAAGCTATCTGCCCACCTCTGGGCCCTCTGTCCCACATTGTCCCGCATTGCCGCCTTTCTCTATATCCCTGCCCTTGTAATTTTTTCTTAAACAGCCACCATTTTTTGAGTACTTCCTACCTGCGTACCATATGCCACATTTCTTCTTAAAGTTGATTTATTTTGAGAGAGGGAACTTCCGTAAGTGGGAGAGGGGCAGAGAGAGGGAGAGAAAATTCTAAGCGGGTTCTGCATCAGCACAGAGCCTGAGGAGGGGCTCAAACTCAAAAACCGGACTATGAGATCATGACCTGAGCCGAAATCAAGAGTAAGACGCTTAATCGACTGAGCCACCGGGGCGTCCCCATGGACCACTTTTATCATTCTCCTCAATAATTAAGACCTGGAGAATGGGCTACATTTCTTTTTTTTAAATATTTCTTTTTAATGTTCCTTCACTTTTTGAGAAACAGAGACAGAGTGCAAACAGGGCAAGGGCAGAGAGAGAGGGAGACACAGGATCCGAAGCAGGCTCCGGGCTCTGAGCTGTCAGCACAGAGCCCGACGCGGGGCTTGAACTCACAAACCACGAGATCATGACCTGAGCTGAAGTCGGACGCTTAACCAACTGAGCCACCCAGGTGGATGGGCTACATTTCTAAAGGTGGCATAGTGGGAAAGTGGCTTAGAAGGCAATTCAACTCCGGTCTCCTTGACCCCAGACCTTCCCGCTACTCCATACGGACACTTTGTGGGGTCCCCTGTTCTCCTGGATTGTCTGAGTTTGGTCTTTTCCCTGTCCCCAGTTCCTGTTAGCCCCGCCTCCAAAATATCCCCTAAATCTGCTCACTTCTGTCCATTATCTTCAGCTCCCAGCCCCTGTTATCATCACCTGAACCAATGCCGTCCCCTGCCCTGGTCCCTGATTCCTGCCATCACCACCCCCCCCTTCTCCACAGTTCCCCACACAGGTGCAGAAGGATGCTTGTGAACACCCTAGTGAGTTCACACCCCTTCTTTGCTTAAGAACCCTGCATGGCTTCCTCCTTATTCAAAGTGAAAAGTCAAGGGGCGCCTGGGTGGCTCAGTCGGTTAAGTGTCCGACTTCGGCTCAGGTCACAATCTTGTGGTTCACGAGTTCAAGCCCCGCGTCGGGCTCTCTGCTGACAGCTTGGAGCCTGGAACCTGCTTCTGATTCTGTGTCTCCCTCTCTCTCTCTCTGACCCTCCCCCCATTCATGCTCTGTCTCTCTCTGTCTCAAAAATAAATAAACGTTAAAAAAAAATTTTTTTTTGTTTTAAAGTGAAAAGTCAAAGGGGCGCCTGGGTAGTTCAGTCGGTTTAGCATCCAACTTCAGCTCGGGTCATGATCTCGTGGTTTGTGGGTTCGAGCCCCACGTCGGGCTCTGTGCTGACAGCTCAGAGCCCGGAGCTTGCTTCGGATTCTGTATCTCCCTCTCTCTCTCTGCATCTCCCCAGCTCATGCTCTGTCTCTCAAAAATAAATAAATGTTCACAAATAAAAATAAAAGTGAAAAGCCCAAGTCTTCCCTCCAGCCCACGAGGCGCTGCTCCACCTTCCCCATCACCCCTGCCTTGCTGACCCTTCCGGACACGCTGGCCCCAGGGCTTGTGCCTGAAATGCTCCCCACTTGGCCCTTTTTGTGGCTAGCTCCTCATCCTTTGGCTTTCAGCTCAGGGGTCACCTCCCCCAGGAAGCCTTCTGTGCTTGTCTGAGGTTGGCTTATCTTGGTGACCACACATCACCCTCTTTCTTTTTCATGGCATTTGTCACAATCTGTAATTATCTATTTGTATTTTCACTTAATAATTGTTAGCCTCCCCACCCAGAATGTCAGCTGTAAGGGGACACCGATCTTGCCCCTTTTTTACCACCTTAAACTAGAGCCAGGCAGGGTGTGTGGTATACAGCAGGTACTCACTATACAGGCACAGAACAGCTGAATGACTACAAGGGGCTTAGCATAGTGCCTGGTCTGGGGGAAGTACACAGCGTTACCCGTTGTTATTAGTATATTAGTACACGCCAGCATGTAAGTTTCCAGTCTCTTACACATGCTCCAAACTCTCTGGCTGCTGTGTTCTGAGACTGTACCACACAGAAGCAGAAACAGGAAAACCAATGAAGTTACGTTACTGCGGGGGTGCCTGGCTGGCTCAGCGGGTGGACCATGCAATTCTTGGTCTCAGTGTCATGAGTTTGAGCCCCATGCTGGATGTGGAGCCTACTTATTAAAAAAAAAAAAAAAAAAAAAAGATTAAAAAAAGGAGTAACCTGCACTAATCTGGGCACGTGCCAATGGCGGGACTGGACTCAGGTGGTCTTGGTGAAGGTGAGGAAAAGCCTGCAGATTTTGGATGTAATCTGAAGACAGAGCTCACCTGATTGATTGCCTGTGCAAGAAAGAGAGGAGTCAGAGAAGCAGGAGGAAGCAGGGCTGAGAGGGGGCAAGCTCAGACAAGAGTCCTGAGAGGGCACTTGTGGCCTGATCCTGCAGGGAGCTTGGGAGGAGGTCACATCCCGGGGCTGTCCTGAACTGGTAGGTCACTGACTAAAGGTGGCCCCGGGCACCTACAATCCCAGGCACTTCTGGTTCTCTTGAGTGTGCAGGCAAAGTGTCCAGTGTGACCCAGTCGATCCTCTATTTTTTTTTAATTTTTAAAAAATGTTTATTTATTTTGAGAGAGAGAGAGGGAGGGAGAGCATGTGTGAGCAAGTGGGGGAAGGGCAGGGAGAGAGGGAGAGAGAGAGAATGCCAAGCAGGCTCCACACAGCGCAGAGCCCGACACAGGGCTCAAACTCACAAACCATGAGATCATGGCCTGAGCCAAAAGCAAGAGTCAGACACTTAACCGACTGAGCCACCCAGGGGCCCCTGGTCTGATCCTCTTGAGTGTGTTGGCAATGTTGTCCAGAACCCGGAGCAGTTCTCTGGGGAAGAGTTGGTGTACAGGCAGTCGTGCAAAAGCACACAGAGCCCGGGCAAAGAGAAAATAAAGCAGAGCTGAAGGGATCTGGGCAGGTAGGTTCGTTTTGGATTTGCACATAGATGGTTGGATGTGTGTGTCAGGACCTCACAAAGGAATTCTAGGCTGGAGGCATTTAAGAGGGAACGCTCAGCATTTGTCTTTCAAGTCAGGGGCTGGCTGAGATCACCTGGGGAGTGAGTGTAGAGAGAGGCGAGGCAGAGCTCTGGGGAGAGGGAAAAAGAAAAAGCGGACGGACTCAGGGGAGAGCCAGAGAGTGGCGGCGTCTGGAGCCAAGTGAAAGGCAGGAAGTGTGGGCACAAGTGCTCCTGGCTTTAGTGTGGGTGCAAATGAACGGGAGCGACTATTTTCTAGTGCAGGAAGGGGGAAGGTCATCAGCTGAGAGCAGAGCACGGGGAGATGCTGGGAGCCATAACTAGGTGTGAAAAATTGGGAAACCACTGCGTGAATGAGCGATGCTAGCATTGTGAGTGTCTTCTTTTTCTTTCCCAGACTTACCGAGGTGTGAGGTGTAGGAACAGAGTGGATTTCGTTGGAGGAGCAGGGGCTTGTGGGTATGTGCAGGGGCAGACACAGGAGGGACGGATGCTAGCTCTCCACCCGCAGCTTTGAAAGCACTTGGGGTGAAAGCCGAGGTCTCCATGTGGGTCTCCGGGGACCTGCAGGACCTATCCACCCTTTCTTGGACGGCCCTCCCCAACTCCTCCCACACTGGCCCCATTCCAGCCCCTCGGGCCTCTGCTGCTCCTTCCACAAGCGCCATCAACCTCCGGGACTTTGTGCCGGCTGTTCCCTCTGCCCGGAACATTCATCTCCCGGCAGTCTGCTTGGTCTCAGTCCCTCAGCTCCCCATAAGGACTTTCTTGTGCGCTGCCTAACTTACAATTGCACCTGCCCCAGTCCCGCACCCCACCCCCCCACCCCCCGGCTGTATTTTGCCCACTGCACTTGCCACCATGGGACATATTACATACTTTGCCTATTGTTTAGCACCTGCCTCCCCATCGCAGTCAGCTCCGCGAGGGGAGGGCCATGGGGTGGTTTGTTTACTGTGTCCCCAGCAGCAGCTCCTGGCTGCAGCCTCAACCTCCGACCCTCTCAGATGGTCTGTTACCAGCGACTCAAGCTCTGCTGCTTGGGGTTGTGGCGTTCATTTCTGTGGTTTGCAACTCTGAGAGGTAGGAATTAGAATTCTTGGGCGATGAGGCGGGCGGGGCCAGGAGGGAGGGCTGAGAGACCTGCCCTGTGGCGAGGCACACAGGCACAGGTGTGCTGGCCAGTTACAGGGTGGCAGAAATCTCAAAAGTGGCTCAGGCAGCTAACAGATACAAAGATGTCTTCCAGTCCTATAACATTCTGGAACAGGTAAAACTAATCTGGTGATGTAATAGGGACAGGGATTGGCTAGAGGACGCTTGGGGAGGGGGAACTGCAGGGGAGGGTGGGTGCCAATGTCCCTTATCTTGATCGGGGTGGTGCTTACACAGGCGTGTGTAATGTAAACATTTACCAAGGCGCCTGTGGTCGGTTAAGCGTCCCAGCTTCAGGTCGCGATCTTGCGGTCCGTGAGTTGAGGCAGCGTCAGGCTCTGAGCTGATGGCTCAGAGCCTGGAGACCTGTTTCATTGTCTCCCCTCTCTCTCTGCCCTCCCCGTTCATGCTCATCTCTCTCTCTCTGTCCCCCCAAAATAAATAAACGTTGAAAAAACAACAACAACAACAAAAAAAAACATTTACCAAGACGTACACTTAAATGATTGTGTATATTACACCTTCACTGAAAAAAAAAAAAAAGTGGCTTAGGGTGCCTGGGCGTCTCAGCTGGTTGGGCATCTGACTCTTGGTTTCAGCTCAGGTCACGACCCCACGGTTCACGGGTTCGAGCCCCACATCGGGCTCTGCACTAACAGTGTGGAACCTGCTTGGAATTCTCTCTCTCTCTCTCTCAAAATAAACAAACTTAAAAAACTAATAGTGCAGTTTAAAAGGGAAAAAAAAAGTGGCTTAAGGGAAATGGGAGTTTCCTATTTGGCTCCTGTCCATGAGGTTGGGCTGACTTGGGTGCAGTGGGGGCCAGGCAAGGTGGGTGACCCACTCACTCACTTCTTCCCTGTTTCGACTGTTCTAAGCCAGGGTGAACAAGAATCATGTTCCCTGGTCTCAAGAGTTTCCTCTCTAGCTAAAGAGAAACAGATAATAACTATATAACGGGTGATGATAAACACTTTGAAGTAACACAAAGCAGGATAATCTGGCAGTGCTGTTTAAGAAATGGTGGTTAGGGCAGCTGGGCGTCTCTGAGGTGGGACACTGGAGCAGAGACTCAGAGAAGAGAGGGAGAGGGCTCTGAATGCCCAAGGGAAGGGAGTATTTCAGGCAGAGTGTGTAGCAGAGCAAAGGCCCTGAGGTGACAGGATGCTTGGAGGAAGGTGTGGAAAGGCTCATCAAACTGTATTCCAGGCTCACACCCTCCCAGCCCAGCTGCCAGGTCAGAAAGGCCCCTTCCTTCCTTCCTTCCTTCCTTCCTTCCTTCCTTCCTTCCTTCCTTCTTCCTTCCTTCCTCTTTCTCTTTCTTTCTCCCTCCCTCCCTTCCTTTCTCTCTTTCTCTTTTTCTTCTTTTTCTTCCTTCCTTCCATGTTTATTTATTCTTCAGAGAGAGAGAGAGAGAGAGAGAGAGAGCGAAAGCGGAGGAGGGGCAGAGAGGGAGACACAGAATCCAAAGCAGGTTCCAGGCTCCAAGCTGTCAGCAGAGCCCCACGCGGAGCTCGAACTCACAAACCGTGAGATCATGACCTGAGCCGAAGTTGATGCTCAACCAACTGAGCCACCCAGGTGCCCCAGACCTTTTCTTTCTCAGAAGACTGGAGGCAAGTCCCAGAACTGCCTATGCCCTGGCCGGTTTTGCCAAAAACACCACGTCTGAACCATTCTTGGGCCAGGTAAGAAGTGGGGCTCTGATCAGCCAGATCCAGGGCAGAGGCTGGGCGGTGGGAGAACAAAATGGCAGAGAGGTGGTTCCCTAAGGGAAATCGTGGTTCTCAGAACAAAGTGGGAAACGGAGACCCAGCAGGCCAAAGTCCCAGGTGGCCGGCTGCTCTGTGAGACGGCAGCAAGAGCAAGAACTAGACCAGCAGGAACTTCAGGATGGCCAAGCGGGTCCTGGAGGGTGAAGACGATGAACTCCATGTGGTTGGGGTCCTACATCCGCTTGGCCCACATGACAGCGTCACTGTGTGGCCACGCCAATGCTTCCCCCCCAAGTCTCAGCATCCCGGGGCTCCAACTGATGTGGCCATGATTTGACTCCACTGCATCTTTTGCTTTTAAAGTATTGCTGGGGCCCTTGCTGGCTCAGTCCATACAGCATGCAACTCTCGATCTCAGGGGCGTGAGTTCAAGCCACGTTGGGCATGGAGCCAAAATAAAATCTTTCAAATATTGCCGTAAAATACACATAAAAATTACCCCCCAAACCGTTTTTAAGTGTGCAGCTTGGTGACATTAAGCACATTCACCGTTTTGGGCGACCATCACCACCTCCATGTCCAGAACTTTTTCTTCTTCCCAAACGAAAACTCTGTCCCCATTAAACGCAAACTCCCCCTCCTGCAGGCACCCATCGTTCTACCTTCTGCCTCTATGGATCTATTCTAGACACTGCATATGAATGGAGTCGTACAGTATTTAGCCTTTTGGGTCTGGCTTATTTAACATAACATCCTCTAGGTTCATCCACGTTGTAGAATATGTCACGGTTTCTTTTTTTTTTTTTT